TATAATATGCGCCCGTAAGCCTTTAGGGGAATCAGACACAAGGATTTCTCGGCATTACCGGGTTTATGTGAACTTTTGTGTGGGTTTGTACAAGTCGTTGCATAGATCTTTTGCAAGGCATGGGTGTGGTGTGCCTGTGGCACTCAGCACATGTCTTGCCAATGGTGCGAGCCTTAAAGCCTACCCTCCCCGAGCCCTAAATCCCAAATCCTGAACCCTAAACCCTGATCCCTACACCCTCAACATGTGCTTGCGGGAGGGCAAATCCGAAAACCCTCGGTTTGAGGCTACTTGGGGGTTTCGCAAAATTGGGGGTACCATTTTGGGGTCCTAACAATATAAGGATTATAATATTTGGGGGTCTATATTGGGGTCCTCCTATTTTGGGAAACTACCATTTGGAGGGGCGGTTTAGGGTTTGGGTTTTAGGGTTCAGGGTTTAGTGGGTTCTGCAGGAAGTCAGTGGAGGGCGTGGGGATTGTACGGGAACAGTTTCGCAGTAAGGCTGTTTTGTTTCTACACTTGAGACGTGTTGGGTTTAGGGGTTTAGGGTTTAGGGCGGGAAGGTTTGGTGGTTTACCACAATGATGGGCTCCCTTTTGAGGAGTTAATCGCCATCCCATGTTTTTGAAATATCCGAGGCAAACCAGTATTTCGAGAAATGTCCATCTGAAGACCAGTAAAGACGAAGATAACAACTACATCGATGTGAGAAATGCCTATGTGGACAGTTGTCGAATTGATGGCCTTGTTTAACACCCCTTTTTACACTACAGTATCTGCTTAGAATGTCCAAAGAAGGCAATTTTGACCGCCTTCCATATCCTAAACCGCAAGCCGTAAACCTATAACCCCCGCAGCCAAGTAACCACGGTATCCTCAGAACAGATCACTCATGTGAGCTATAGTCTAAACTCCGAGTATCCCCCTATAATACTGCCCCATATAATCCCCTATGCAATCCCTCTTTCTTGATTGTAGATCCTAAAACCTAAACTCGATACATATATATATATATATATGTATACCCCTTCACGGAGTTTAGACCACGGCTCATGCCGGGTTCCCTCTGAAGCACTGGCGTGCTTCGCCCTGCACTTTCACGTAGGGGAGCCCGCTCAGAGCCTCAGCAGTTCAGGGTGTAGGGTGTAGGGTTTAGGGTCTGAATTTGTCCTGTTTGGAGGTTGCTGACTATGGAGGGTTTATGCAGGGATTGTATAGGGATAGATTGTGATACGCAAGGGTATGTAACTATAACCCAAGTATAACAGCTCCTATAAGCCCAATTCTCAGCCCTCTAAATCCCTAACATGGTCATAACGGGTTTGTTTCAGTCTCATTTCTGATTATGGTCAGTTTTGCTCTGAACCTCCAAATAGGAGTTTACCCTCAAGGCCAGGGGGACTTAGTAAGGAGGTTAATAATGCGGATAGCTGGGCCTATAATATGGCTTGTAGGGGTTATAAACAGACTTACTATGTCCCTGCAGTTGCCCGGACTCCTGGTAGAAAGCATAATTTCAGCTGGTTCTTAGGATTATAGACCACAGCCCTAAAAAATCAACTTCAAGGTACCTGGCAAGACCATACTAGTTAAACCTTAGGCACGGGGTCGGGGATACTGATGTTCCAGCTTTCCAGCTTCTGCTCCGAGGCTTTACCATCAAGAGCCCGGTAGCTCCTTGGCCTTTGATCTTCCAAGTTTTTGGAGGTCTCCTGTTCGGAATAAGATTTTCTTGCTGGGGGTTAGTAGGGAATAATGGAACATATCATATAGAGATTATCTAGTGATGAAATTGCCTTATTCCGTACTAAGCCTCAGTAAGCTTGGAGTTCTTTGAGACATGGTGTGGAATTCATGCTTCTCATGCTTTGGGGTGGAGTTTGGTGCGATCTGGAATGGCTTGACATGCGTTCGACCTCCGGCAAAACCTGAGGAGCGGACCGGGAAGCGCGGTAGTTGGAACTCGCACTTTCTTTGCAGAATCCGGTGCAATCTGAAACTAGTTTCTTGGGACTGCATGAACTAGCAATAGCAAGGAAACCTGCACGTGGGTAGTTATCAGTTGGGCAACCTCAAAAGAACCCGATATAGACTTCATATCTTATATGACCCTTGTGAGGGGTTACCTACCAGACCCACCTGGGGGTGCCCTTAAAAATCCGAAATCATCCCGTCGGCCTTAAGTTTACGAAGCCCAACAATGACTCATCGACAGCATGGAGATTCATTTTTGCAGATACATTTATCTCTGCGTACGCTTGTTCATATCCGCAAGCTCACATTTCCTCACTTTTGAAGTGGCACACGTACATTCCCAATAATAAGGAGTCTGAATGTGCCCCAACGTACCCTCGACCCCATTTTGGAAAGCCCTACTTGGAGGTAAAGGGTGATTGTAACTTGACTATAACAGGTGTTTGTAACCCACTTTTAACTGTATTAGGAGACTTAGGGGCCCTATACTCGGGGTTATGTACAATTAACTAGGCCATTTTGGTACGATTCCTTATATAAACCACCATTTAAAGTGAGGTCCGGTAAGGTCGCTTTAAATTGCCCAGTAAGTTATCATTACCCTGGACCTCCAAGTATGTGTTCCAGACAGCCAGCTACCATGGGGCTGCGGCGATCCTCATATTGGCCTTTGCACGATTTTGCTCTCTGAGCCACAGCTTGTAAAGTTGAACTGTAGGGGTCCTTAATAATTACCAATATTATACTGAAGTACTACTATGAGGTACCCTATACAAGACTTATACCAGCAATCTAGACCGACTATTGGCATATGAGTTTTAAGGCTCTTGTATGAGACGTAGAGTCTGGAGCAAAAGATTATGTGGATCTCAGTTCAGAATCTGTCTTGAAACTCTCCCAAGTATTGATTCTAGCCAGAAGTACATCAGCATAAACTAAACATTGTTTTCAAGACACCCTTGTAGGTTGACCTAGGGGCCCAATAGGGACGAAGAGAAGCCTGTCAAGCTTGGGTATGTCTAAGGCTTTGAAGCATTTGCGCACCCGCCCTCCTTGATATAGCATGCCTCCCCATGATATCACACGACCTCCAAACCCTAAACTGTGTGGACTGTCATAGTAAGGAATATCTCACCGTCTCAGCAGTATAGGTGCCCACAACCGCCCAACGACCCCCTAAACATTGAAAAAATGAAGCCCCACAAAGTGACCCCCACTACCACATGGGGGAAACTCAAGGACTGGTATGAGGTTCCATGTCTTAAATCCTTCAGGAGAACTGGGCCGATGTCAGAAAACCCGGCGCTGCAAACAACCTTAATGAGCACTCCAAACCTGTTTTAGCGAGCCTTGGCTCAAGAAGAGACTTAGGGCTTTAGGGTTTAGGGTTCAGGGTTTACAGCTTAGGGTGACCGAATAATCACACCTAAGCTCAAGCCTACATGGGGACCTATACATTTTTAGCAGCAACAACCGGCAGGTTTTGAACCTTCGGTTCCGTGTCACTTATCCGAAGCACTTGAGACCCGATCTTGGATGCACTAAGGATTGTAATCCCTTTAAACCTATATTACTAGCAAAAATACTGTTGCAAAGCTCTTTGGGCTTCTACTACAATAATAATCCAACAAATCCAGACCCTAAAGCCTAAGCCCCAAACCTAAGCGACAATGAGAGGAGAGCAATGATGGCAAAGACGTGCCTCTAGATTTTGAAGTGGACTTAGATGTTCAGGCTAATTATGATCTACTTACAAAAGATTACACCAAATGATTTAATATACTGATAATAGATAAGGTCTGGCTTTAAAGCTGTTACGGTTATGTAAGGTTCCATGAAGTTTCGAGTAACTTTCATCCAGTTACAACTGGCACTTCAACACCAATTATAACCATATTAGAGGACTTCTGGGGATTGGCTTGTACATCTGCAGTTGGGTTGTGCTTGCCCCGATCTTCCCGGTGGTCCCCAGAGTGCAAGCTAGGCTACTTAGATAGGGTACTAGCGCCCCGAAAATAGGTCCCAAGTATACTTGCCTCAGAAATCTTTGGATGGCATGGGAATTTCCCAGGACTTGAAGGCTACTGCAAACACTTGTGGGGCTGCTTTGAAGGTTAGCGCTCTGCCGCAACGGTAAACCCAAGCCCAGAACCCTAAACCTTAACTTAATCCTCAAACTTGCTGGCCATTACCTTGAATTGGCTAGATGGGAATGAAGCAAAGGAAAAGAAAGTTGAAACTACTATCATGGGCTATATAGGGACTACTATAAGGATCCATTCCTCTAGCTAATCAAAGGTAAGTTACTAGGGACATGGAGCCCTGTAGAACTCACAATCTAATACGCTCTTGTTTCCTTTGTTCAACTCCAACCCGGAACTCTACACCATGAAGCCACGGATGCAAAACTCTACCTTTTCCCTTAGCCTCTGTCGCCCGCGGCAACCAAAGGACTCCTCATATTCTAGGGGGCATACATATCATCACAGGGTTTTGGAGCCTATTACACTATAGTTATGCAAGGACTATGAAGGAAGAACTAATGCTGAGAGTCATTTAGGCTTCTACAATAAATCAGATCCTCATCTTGCACTCCTTCACGCATTTTTCACCCCTCATAAGATTGCGCGTCACTCCAGCCACCTGACTTGCTGTGAGAAACCTATCGCCAGCTGCCGTGGAGAGTTCCGCATTTTCTGCCATGCTCTATATAGTCCCCCTTAAGCAGATAGAATATGGCTTCGGGGTATATTATAATAAGATCCCCATATACCCTTTATTCTATCTACTTAAGGGGGCCTATGTCCGGTGCCTGTACACGCTTCACATCCCCATACCTCCACCTAAAAACAACACAGCTATGCTGCACATAACTCTCAAATGCTGTATGCTTGTAGTTGGCAACACGGGCATTTTTGAGGAGAGGGAATCACCGGACATAGTTGTGAGCACTGGATCAGCTACCGTACTAAACACACTCAGCTAGACCACAGAAAGACAAATGCCGCGGCGTCCAGTGGCCATCAATTGCCAATATACTCCCCATCCTTGAAGAATGTGCCATACTGGGGTGCATCGTACGCATTTGTATGTATTTTCAACCACTTGACCGAGCTCTTTACCAGCTGCTCGAGGTCTGTCGACAAGTCTTCCTTGGCTTCATCCTTTGTTGACAGCTCTGCATGCTTCTTCTGCAGTGTGGCCAAGAACTTCATGTGCTCGCTTCGATGAGTGATGACGTTTGGTATCTGGTACTTTTCGAAGAGGGCCTCCTCGGCCTTGAAGTGGGCGTCTACTGCGTCGATGATCTGCCCCAGCTCTTCAACGCAGTTTGCAGAGTCCTTCAACGCCGTGACTGCAGAAAATAGCTCTTGATGCTGCTCATCCATTTCGGGAATATTCACAGACGGGATGTTCTCGCGCACCATGGCTTGCTACTAGTTCTGCTAATGATGTAGTCTCCGCAAAGTGTCTAGCTGAGTTCCGTGAAGCCAAGATGACACAAAAATGCGTCCAGCGTCTGATTCGGCATCTACTGGGAGTTTTTATGATTTGGGGTAAGATCCAAACATACTGTAATTCCTATTATGGGAAGCCCCAGCCAGGAACCTCTAAATTTGGAAAAAACCTCTGCTGGATTCTGAAATACCCAGTCAAGTGAGCCAGGCAAAACAAGAGCCTCGTGGGAAGGCTCGAACCTTCTGAAAAGGGGCTTAAATGAAGATAATGAGAAACCCTGGTAACTTAATTTAAGTTCCTTAAAAGCAACCCAGCTTATCTTGACTGGCGTGCAAATGGGCTGACGAGGGAGGGCCCTAAGCCCTAAACTCGCGGGGTGTCAGCTGCAAAAGATCCTCGACGAAGAAGCCCCTAGGCCGAGAGCCCTGTTCTGATAGAACAAGCCAAAGACGTCGCGACTTGGAGCTCATCCAACTTCTATAATCCCCCTTAAGTAGATAGAATATGGCTTTGGGTATATTACAGTAAGATCCCCATATACCCCATGTTCTATCTACTTAAGGGGGACTATAACCCTTCCATCTGTCATGGAGCCCTGCGAAGCTTGAAGTTAGCTGCTTGGTACAGGCTTATCACAGGCAGAAAGAGAAGCCATTTTGAGGACATCCCTGCTGATCCAGCGCAGGAGCCCTAATGTAGAAGTTTGAATAACCCTAAACCCTGAACCCTCTCCAATACGATGCTCCGGAAAAGGAGATGAAAAGTGACATGGAACACGGGTGTATGCAAGGGCTTAGGGACCATTGCGCATATCGTGGTCCCCTATTCCTAGCGAAAACCTTGTATAGGATGCGTCAAGTAGACCTCAACATGATACTGGTACTTATCCAGAAGCGCGTCGTCCCTATCGCAGACTACTCTTGAATAGACTAGCAAACATGAACTGGACATGAGGATGTTCAGAGGCTTTCGGAGGAACATATGCGGATGAACAGCGAAGCTACTTGAGTCTTGCTGATGTGGTACCAAAGGTGCCCGCTGTAGGCCTACCATGGGTCCATGTCTACATAATGTAAGATGTTTTCGACAGTCTAGAGGATTTGGCGTTTCCCGGTAAGAGTGTTTATTTTTGTTGTTGTTTGGTCTTTTTTGTTGTTTGGGCTTTTCGGGTGTTATTTTTTTGCTGTTTGGGCGGGGGCGTGTTTTATTTTTTGCTGTTTGGGCGGGGGCGCGGGCCCCGCCCAAACAGCAAAAAAAAACACTCGAAAAAAGCCCAAACAGCAAAAAAA